TTTTTATTGGCACACAATCCGCATAGCATACAATGCAATCGTTTAATTATGTCAAGCAGAGTTGTACAATCATTGTCACAATCAATTTTAGAACATTTTCTTTCTTTTTTAATCATTTTATCGGGGGCTCTTGCAGCTCTTATCACAATCCATTCAGCCATTGTGCCAAGCACATTTGTACATTTGTTGCCACCATCATTTTCAAAACATTTTCTTTCTATGCCCCATTCCCCCCTCCATCCCTCATGATCCCTTGATAATTTATAAATTATCCTTTTCCATGTCTTACACCAACCACTCTCTCCCTTCACCCACTTTTTTGTTGTCCATCCCCCTGGTGTGGGGGTGGGGGGTTATATGCCAATCATTGTGATCGGTTCCCCCTTTCTCCCCTCACCTTCCCCTTAACCTCCTGGTATCTCTATTCTCATTATTGGTCCTGAGGGGTTTATCTGTCCTGGGTTCCTTATGTTTCCAGCTCTTATCTGTATCAGTGTACATGCTCTGATCTAGTTGGATTTGTAAGGTAGAATTGGGGTCATGACAGTAGGGGTGGGGGGGGGAGCATTAAAGAACTAGAGGAAAGTTGTGTGTTTCATTGGTGCTACACTGCACCCTGACTGGCTCGTCTTTTCCTTGTGACCCTTCTGTAAGGGGATGTCCAATTGTCTGCAGATGAGCTTTGGATCCACTCGGCCCTCCCCCTCATTCACATAAATATGATTTTTTGTTTTGGGTCTTTGATGCCTGATACCTGATCCCTTCGACAATTCATGATCACACAAGTTTGTGTGCTTCTTCTATGTGGGCTTTGTTGCTTCTCAGCTAGATGGCCACTTGTTTATCTTCAAGCCTCTAAGACCCCAGACACTATATCTTTTGATAGCCGGGCACCATCAGCTTTCTTCACCACATTTGCTTATGCACCCACTTTTGCCTTTAGCAATCGTGCCAGGGAAGGTGAGCATCACAGATTTCTGGGTTCTTAGAACAAACTGTTCTTGCATTGAGGGAGTACTTGAGTGCAGGTCCAATGTCCATCTGCTACCTTAATACTTAACACATAAATGCATGTACATAGATCTATATCCCTCTCGTTATATATAAATGTATTTACATATGTACATGCCTGTATTTAGACCTCTATAAATGTCCTTTGCTTGCTAATTCTTTCCTCTATTTCCTTTTACTTTCCTCTTGTCCCACTATCATGTTCGGCCTTTATCTGGGTTTCAGTAATTTCTCTCGGTTACATTGCCCTTGATCAAGCCCCACCAGGCATCCTATGCCCTCCTCGCCATTGATTTTAGATCACTTGTTGTTCCCTAGTCCCTGGGTTTGTTAACACCCACTTCCTTTCCCCTGCCCCCCTCCCATTGGCGCCCCCCCACCAACCGTCAGTCCGTTATTTTCTCCTCCAGATAATTTATCCTGCCTATCTTATCTAGATAAACCTGCAGTGACAATAATGAGCACAAAAACAAGACAAAGCAAAACATAACAAGAAAAGAAAACTAAAAACAAAACAGCAACAATCACAACAAAAAAATCAACAATAAAAAAAGAAAAGCCTATAAATAGTTCCAGGCCTATCTCTTGACCTTCTAAGTGTTTTCCAGTCCAGTCTGATGGGGTGCCATGCCCTGGCCCCAAAGTCTATTTTTTGGTATTCCTCAGGGACTTCATTGCTCTGTTCCCCTTGCTGTTCTGTTGCACACCTTTAATGTTTTGCCTCGGTGTGGTGGGATCAGATCAGGCGGAATTCCCACACTGTGTCTCCAGTGTTGTCCCCCGTAGGGCTATGGGTCAGTGAGGGACGTCGTGTCTGGTGGTGGACAACCTCACCCTTTCTCTGTTTATCACGATGTTGCTTATTGGCCCAATTGTGAGGATTTCCCTTATCTTTATATGGAGGTGTGATCTATGAGGATTTCCCTTATCTTTATATGGAGGTGTGATCTATGAGGATTTCCCTTATCTTTATATGGAGGTGTGATCTATGAGGATTTCCATTATCTTTATATGGAGGTGTGATCTATTTTGAAGATGGTTATCTTTGATCTTCATCGAGGAGTGCTTCCTGTTCTCTTTGATTTCAAGGGCAAGATCGCATCATCTGCATATCACAGGTTATTAATGAACCTCACTCTAATCTTGATGCTGTGTTCTCCCTATAGGCCAACCTCTCAAATGATTTGCTCAGAATACAGATTGAAAATGCACGGTGAATAACCCTACAGGGGACAACACTGGAGACACAGTTTGGGAATTGCACCTGATGCGTCCATTGTGTCAAGCACATGTATACATATGTCGCCATCATCATTTTCAAAACACTTTCTTTCTACTTGAGCCCTTGGTATCCGCTTATTTCCCCCCTCCCCTTCTCTCCCTAGGTACTCTATTTCCTTTTTTATCGTTTTATTGGGGGCTCATACAACTCATCACAATCCATATTTTCTTTCTTTGTTATTGTTGTTAGGGTTGTTTTGTTGTTTGTCTGTTTGGGTATGATTGCCTGTATGTGAAAGACAGGGTAGGGACAGCTATGGAGACAGTAACTGGATTGATGGTTTCCTGAGGGCTTAGCAGGGGAGGTTGGGGAAAAGGAGGGACTGATAACCTGGAGTACAGGAAAGATGAAAAGGCTCTGAACATGGACTGTGGTGATCATTGTACAAGTCTTGGTATGATTTGAACTACTGAGTTGTATAGTATGTGGATTCTGTCCCAATAAAACTTTAAGAAATAAAAAAAATGTTAAAAAAGTAACAAAAGAGCCCATGCTAGTCCTTCTCAGGCTCCACAAGGCCTTTTTACGTGCTTCCTTCCATTTTTGATGACCCAGTGTTCCTAGCGGCATCATTCATGGATCCCACAGTCCTGTTTTAGGGGCTCTTTGCAGTTGTTCTCAGCTGTGCCACGTCAGCAAAGGAAGGTCCAGAAGGCTTTATTCCATCCACATCACTAAGGAGTTCCAATATCCACAGTGGCACCCATGGTAGCTTGCAGACTGCCACCAGGAAAAGGGACCTGATGATCTACCACTAAAACCTGGCCAACAGCCGAGAAACATGGTTTCATAAAGGGCCAGCAAAGTGAATCCTTGGTCATAAGGCGCTCAAAATACAGCGGATGAAGAGCTGTCTCCACAAAGCTGACCAAGGCCTTAGGATGTGGATGGGAGAAAAGCTCTCCTGGGGGGGAAGGGCCTGATGCTTGTTCAATTCTGAGGCCTGTGCTCAGCCCCTCGCTTGGGAGGATACGAAGCTTTTTTTTTTTTTCTTCTTGCATCTCCCCCCAACCCCCACCCCTTCTGCATCCCATGAAGCTTTTGTGTGCTGATGAATTTAAGTAACAGCCTTACAGACCTTGACCTCCCTTCTGGTACCTCAGCTCTTCATTTGCGAAATGCGGACAACACCTGGTCCTGTCTTGCCAAATGATGGTTAGCTGGGCCATCAGACCACCCGGGCCTTTGGAGGACCCAGGGGGCCAGCAGTTTTGAAGGTTTCCTTTGGATTCCACTTGAGCTACTGGGAGAAGGTCGCAAGCTGGGGGACCAGGGGACCCACAGTCTTCCATGCTGCCACCTTGGGCCTCGAACTTCCCAGGGCTCTGGAGCACCGGATGTCACAACCCCCCTCTCATCCCCAACCCTGCTGTGATCATTATTCTATTTCAGCTGTTCCCCCTGGTCTGTCTGCATGTGCCTGCTCCTGGTTCAGAACCCGTGTTCCCGCCTCCGAAGCCAGGTTTCTGAGCTGCTTTATGGTCTGAATCTCAACAAAGGCCTGCCCCAGGGGACCAGTCGCCGCCAAATCTGAGATCAGGCTGCTTTTTTTATTTTTTTAACGGGGGGGGGGGGGCATGGTTGGCAGAGCCCCTTGGAGGTGCTGTGTAGCAGGACATCCCAAGACCCTCCAGCTCGGCTCCGGATTCCTGGGAAATGGGGGCTGGCCCGCATTGCTCGCTGCCCCCTGGAGACCACGACGCAGAGAGGACTTGCTTTCAGCCACCTACCTGCTCCCCCCACACACACCCCTCCCCTATTTTTTCCCAGGCTGTGGGAGACAAAGGGTTAAATCCCATAGAGCTGATGCGCTGACTCCAGGCTAGAGGGGCCCGGGAAGCTGGGGTCACTTCCTGCTCCGTCCCAGTCACCCTGAACTGGTCCCCGGGTTCTCAGCCTGGGATCGCCCCTTGAGAAAGACCCCAGAGTCCTCAGCATCTGGCCCGCCCCCCTCGAGGCAGGGCATTTAAGGGGTTAAGTCCCCTGGGGCTGGATTCGGCCTTCCGGCTCCCCAG